ATTATAATAATAATCTTGCAGCCTCCATGGACAAGTTGACAAGCTCTAATATTGCAAAACCGTTAGTTGTGAACTGAACTTTGAATCTCATTAAGATTTCCATATAAAGTTACACAGATGGAAAAAAATATTAGACAAATAAAAGTAATGCATATTCTAAATTCTCTTATTTCGGGGGGGGGGTATTTTTGTGAGTGTACACGTATGCATTAAAATATGTATATCCATTAAAATTATTAAAACTTCAAATGTAATCATAGTACAAATGTAAAGTAAACAAAATTATCGAGAGTGATTTTGGCTTTTTTGTTGAAAAAAATCTAAAGTCTTAACTCTAAATCTAAAAGTCTATTTGGCGATGGGATTTGCCAAGCCAGTTTATAAAAAAATAGTGAACACACATTTTTGTAAATATTACTGACTGCGAAAGAAGCCCATCACGAAGTGTCTTGTTTGGTCTAAACAAATATTATATTTAAGTTCAGAATGTTTTCTTTTCCCATAAAAAACAAGAACTAATTCATAAACCTTAATTTCTTCGTTTGAGGGCGCACTCCATGTTCTGAGTTCTGGGTTCTGAGTTCTGAGGTTCTGAGTTCTGAAAAGTCAACTCTACCCGGGCAAACTACTAGTAAATCGATGTTTATAGAATGGAGAGGCGCGATAAAAACGAGGGTCAAAATATGTCGTGAGGCTAGCCCAATATATTGATATAAAGTCCCTGAATCCAAGTTCATTAAACTGTAGAATTCGTTCCATACGATAAAGCCCACCGATGGTCTGTTGTTGGCCACTTTGAATAGACCATTTTCCGTTCACTGCAAGAATCACGCGTTATGCGTGAAATCGAACGTAAAAACAGGACAAACAAAGGTCATAGCGTCGTAGTCGCGTCAAACATCGCGTGGGATTCGACAAACGCGAAAGTATTTCGGGGACATTTCCATGCTTAATAATGTGCTGTCCACATTTGATGATAGGCAATTTCGATTAAGTAAGGGTATTCGGAAGCAATATTCCTCTGTCGAAGATCGGCCGGTCAATGTAAGCTACGAAATAAAGAAATTCTAGTTCAAAATCAAATCGTTCGATTTTTGCGGCAGACGTTCGACGCGCGTCTTTCATGCATCTCGCGAGATCTCACAATTGTACGGAAAATCACCTATTGCTGTTTGTGCACTATTCTGTACTAATAATACAATTCCTCGGCTACGTGGCGGTGCTTTCCGTTTGCAACACGGCGGGCGTCAACATAAAGTAGTATCAACCCGAGTGATAATATACTGTGGTGGCGCCTTTATTTTAAGTTGCAAAAATCAATACAGATTAAGTGTGCATTCCATAGTGTGTATTCGAATGTTGTGTGACAAATAGACGAAGCATTTGACGATCGGCGATACGTGTATATCGGATCAGGTCGTATTTGTTACAAACAAATAAATTAAAAGTTTATTGAAGGCTAAGATAAACGACTTTCGTATTTTCCGTCGTGGTCATTCCGAACACTTGGTAAGTTTACCAAGTTACCTTGGCTTTTCAGTAACTGCGTTTATTTACATAATCACACTTGCGGCAATTATCTACATTCATGCTTTCAACAGATTGAAATGATGATAGCATTTAATGGGGAAATGTTG